TCCTTTCTGTGCTGCTTTTAATACAAAGCCATTACTGCAAAGTATTCAGTTAGTGCGTAAATTGGAGAAATCATAGCAGAAAAGAAAAATAGTAAAAACCCCATAAAAAGAAAATAAATACTCGTAACAAAAGGAAGAGCTATTGGAAGGAAATGGAGAGCTGCTCATTTTATATAATGTTCCGTGGAAGTTAATTTCTGTTCGAGGAAATGGCAGGTAAGGATGTGTTATGGAAATCAGTTGTAAATTTAAGCAATTCTCCTAGAAGAATAGGAAAGACAGGCGTTCAGGGGACACGGCTCAATTAAATGGAAGTGAGCACAGCACCAGCTGCACCATGCGCTGAAGCAGGCTTACGGCTTGGGCACTGCCTAGTTCAAGAAATAAGTCTGGAGCCAAATCAGACAGGTTTGTGTAATTTCCCCCTGGCAGCCTCACTTAATTTTATCACTTGGAACATCTCCAGAATTGACTGGCTACACCTATTGCACCCCCTAATTGTTCTTCTTTATCTCTGACGGCGATCTGCAGTTCGGGGGATGTAATTTTGCCAGACTCGCCTGTTGTAAGCACGCCTGCGACAGCGCAAGACTAAAGATCTTAAAATGCTGCTTTTGTGGCAGGAGAATTTTTTTTTTTTTCAAAATAAAGCAGTCTGCAAACTGCAGGAATCTACAGTAGCTGGTCTACTTGAGTGGGACTGATAGTGACCCACAGCTGGATAACCTCTGCATCGGTGTAAAACAACCCAATTCCAGGATGAAAGCGGAGGTCGTTGCCTTTTCCAGGTCTCTCCTTAATTTTCTGTAATTTTTTTTTTTTTTCTTATTTATCTCTCTTATGGCTGGATAGAATTTCCCAAACTTTTACTGTCCTGAGCATGAATGACATCCAGCTGCCAGCCCCGGGTCTTTTCTAAGCCGTGTTGATCTGGCAGGCTTAATGAAGTCTACGATCACTTACGACACACAATGAATTGTTCATTTAAAAAAAAAAAAAAAAAGGCAAAAACCCAAATAAAAAACCACCCCAAAAACCAAAAAAAAAAAAACCCCACCCAAACCAAAGGAGAGTTCAACCTAGCTTCCTACTTTTCGGGAGATCCCATAGCATGCCTGGAAACATTAATGCATTAATGAAGTTCCAGCTGTTTTCAAGCATTTGTCATCTATTTTAAAAGTTAGAAAGTTAACCGATTCCTCTCTGCTATAGCAAATTTCAGAGTTCCCTGTGTGTGGTTGGCCTTGCTGGTTGCCAGTAGTCAGATAAATCCTGACTTTACAGGGTTCTCTGGATGTGCCTCTTCCAGCCCCTTGCTCACAACTTTTACGTGTTTGACTTGAAAACAAGCAAGGCTGTAAGCCAGCATTTATTCACCTATATTCATAGGTGGTTCCTTTCTAAGACAAATCATTAAAACAGCTAATGAAGACTCTAAGGACTTCCGTTATTTAATAACTTTCACGTTCTGTCAGATCATTCTGCTCATCCCCAGAGCCTCCGAAGTAGCCGTATTGATTTATTGCTCTATTAAGGTTGTTCGTGGCAGTCTGTTAAAGAGCCTACCCCAGCCAGGCAGTTCATGCACTCTGCACTTACAGAAACTGTAGTCCTTTGCTCGTCTTTCATCTTTACTCTCAGAAATTTCTCTTAACGTTGTGGTTTCCAAAAGAAAGGTTATGGTCTTTGTAAAGGCTGTTGATAATCTGCTTTTGTATGGCCATTCATAAAAGCCAACCTGGGCTATTGCTATCAAGTGCTCTGTATCCCCAAGCGATCGCCTTTGATTTACTCTTTCATGTTTTCCATTCTTTTCTCACATCCAAATATGAAAATGCCATTTGAGAAACACGCTCGGGGCGCAGGGCAGAGACCCCCAGCCAGGCCGTACTTTCTGAGCCACAGGTCATGTTGTGATCTAAACGGATGCTTATAACCCTTCTTACTGTTCTCTGAAACGTTCGAGTGGAGAAAGCACAGCGCTCCATTCCTCCACAGCACAGGCAGTCCATTTGCTTCAGGATATTGTCAAACAAAAGGCATCTACTGTCTTAGGAGGACCCGATTATTTGAATTTAAAAATAGTACGTATACAATTCTGTGAAATATTTCTTCTATTTCCAGAATGTATGGAATCATACTTAATATAAAACATGACAATCATGCCTAGTACAGAGCCCAAGAATTAATTTAAAATCAGTTCATTTCATCTTGGATATACGCCCAACCGAACCAGTGAGGGATGTGGGCAAATCCGTATTTCAGACTGTTCCTAAAGCATGACTTGCTTTCAGCAGCGGTTGAAGGCAACTAGCAGCTCCTGAAGCTCACTCGTTTTGTTCATCCCTGAATGGTTTAAATGTGAGAATTGAGATGACATTCTGTAAATGGTAAGCACAACAACTTAAATCTGGTGGGGGGGGGAAACTGCCACCAAAATGCATGTAGACCGTGCAAAGAACTGAAACCCTTTACTGATGCAAGTGTTCCGTGAGGGCTTGTCATTAATTGTAATTAAAATCTGTATGTCGGTAGCACCCAGGCCCCGGGATCGGGTTGTGTTAGCTGCTGTGCAGACAAAGACAAAGCTGCTGTGCAAGACACGTGTCCCGAATTCCTGCCAGACTGCGTCCTTGCCCCGCAACCAGCTCGCCATGGGTGGACTCCTGGTTTCACATGGAGCCCTATTAAGATCAGTAAGTCTGCCCATCTGGCCCGAGGTTTGGGGTGTGAGCCAGCAGGCACGGGGCAATATAATCACATATAAACTATTTTTACAAATGTATATTTCCTCTTATAAAAATTCCTTAGATTATTCCAATGAGACTGTAAACAGACTGGTTTGACTGCCTCGTGATTTTGCAGGTGTTAAGCGATGATCTCGGTATATGCCTTGCTAGGAGCGCTGCTGCGTTCGGGTTTTTCATGCCAATATACTTGTTATAATGTGAACTGGCTTGTGCGAGATAGATAGCTTTGCCACTGTGGTGATTTGGGTACAATTTCTGTACCAAACTAAAGTGGGAAAGAGCTAAGAGATGGGACATATCTGGAGGCTTAGGTCTGCTGTGCTCTGCCTTGGTGGCTTCTCTGTGCTGGGACATCTTACAGCAGCCTACCAAAAACAAAAAAAAAAAAAGAAAAAAAAAAAATCTTAAAGTACATCTCAAGTTTCAAAAGTGTTTGACCTACTCTTCCAAATTTTCGTCAGGTTTCTTTTGACTGGCTTCCTTCATTTTCACAGGTGTATTTCTGCTTTGAACTCGGTGAGACGGCAAGATACATAAAATCAGTGCAAATCCTTGATCCTTGCAACAGCTTTCAGGCTTGTCTACCTTTGGGCTTTGTGAATGCTTTTCTTCATATCAGTAGAGCTACTTGTGCATAGAGTTAAGTAAATCTTTGCTGAA